AGTCTATCACTGGTTTTCTTGGAACTCTTTAAGTTGACCAGGCTGGCCTTGAACTCACACCTGTCTCTATTTCTGGAGTGCTGGAATCAAAGCACAGATCCAGTTTTGTTTTGTTTTGTGTCTTATCATTTATTTATTTATTTATTATTTATTTTTAAGGGGAGACTATTTCTGTGTGACTCTCTACTCTCTGTGATCAGTCTCTTTTTCAGTGATGAATTAAGATGTTGTGCAAAGAGCTGTCCACCTCTCATTATCAAACCTCAGTGAAATGAGAACACCACCTACAACACTAAAGTGGTCTCTGGTTACACGAAGGACATCAAGACATCCCTTTACCTAGTTAAGCTTGGTCAACAGATCCTTTGATATGCACCCCCATATTTCCGCAGACAGTGAGCTACCATAAATTTGAACACATATGAACTTTCTGGCATGTCAATGATAACGCCCAAATGGACAGTCCCTCAGGAAGACTTTGCAAGATCCAACCTATGCTGGATCATTTCCTGCATAAATTTTGAACAATATACAAACCAAAGCAACAGTTGTCTTTGGGTGAGAGAATGAGTCCATGGAGAGGAAGTTTAAAATTTCACATGTGCAACTGAACAAAATTAACAAAATGCAATTTCCTTGGATGGTGTGCGAGAGTGAGCCTGGCTGTGAAGAGAGATAAGAGTGTCGTTTGGTCTCTCTTCATAGAGGAAAATGTTTTATGCAATACTATATGTTAAAAAGTACTAGGACCTCTAATTGTTTAATTACTTCTGTGAATAGAAGTGTTATAATTACTGAAAAAAACATCTAAAGTGCATTATGATCTCTAATTATGATGATTTAAATAACATGGAGTTTGCGCAAAAATGCAGAGTCCCTGCATATGTCTTAGTGAGGTGTGAGATGTATTAAATGAGCTGCATAGGTTCAGTACCTTAAACAAGAGTAGAGACATTTACACAGTGGAACAGAATAGCCTTAAATCTGTATCAGTGTTCAAAAGTCCACACCAGTGTAATGTAAAATATTTGAGACTAGTAGTTTTTCAAAAGTAGACTCAACAATCCATCCTTTTCTCTCATCATTTCTATACTATATTTTCCCCTTTTCCTTTAGGAAGAGATTCTTGAATCTAATTTCCTCTGTTCAGCGTTTTTCCTTCCCCTTACCAATAACAACTTGTAACCAGCCCCCCCCCCCATGATGGCAACTATCTATAACCCACTGAGTGACCAAAAGTTACCCCCATACACACCTCTTAGGAATGTGGGTACCATGTTGTTTGTGGGCAACAGAATCTTTGGGGGACTCTGAGAAAAATGGGATAATTATCAAGTCCTGGGAGAAGTAGCTGTATTATTTTTTGTTTAGTCTCTGTGTGATTGGAAAGTGTAGAGTTTATCTAAAGTCTTGGCTGGATCATCTCAGCTGCCAGTTTTGAAGTTGTCGTGGATGTAGAATTTTGAGAAAGCTGTTTTTTCATTGTTCTGTGTCCTGGGATCACAGTGCTTTCTTTCAGAGGACACAGAACTTCTTTTGTTAAACTTATCACCTGTGCCACACAGGCAGGTTCTCCCTTCTGTGTGTCACGTGGTCTCTCACCTTGACTAGTTCATTTGGAAGGTGGTTGTGTACCGTGGGGAGTTACCTTCCTGTTAGGACTCTACTACTCAGTTCAGCCATAATGTCCAGTTAAGGTAGGACCTGGGCCCATGTTTATTATTGCCAATTTTGCCAATAAGGAGAGAGTAGAGATTATTTTCTCATAAAGGTTGAATCCAGATAGGCTATGGCCTGAGAAAAGAGGGGTAGAAAATTATATATAGCAGTGAAATTCCAGCTACATTCTCACTTTAATACACGTGTTTCATCTACGCACCGCACTGTGGGCTTGCTTGTGTTTCCTGCAGCTGTTCCCCAGTGTCTGCTGTACATTTGTTTCTCGAATGAGATGGTAAACTCCTTCAGGAGACTAAGAAATGTAATCATTTAAAGTACTGTTGTAATCATTTTTCTACATATCCTGTGTCCCTTTTGCATGGCTGTTTTCAGCGTACAGGGGTAGCTGAATAGTTAGTGCAGGTATTCTCATTAGACCAGAGTGGCCGCTATGACAGAACGTTGATGGACCTGCACTGTTGGTAGTTGGAGAGGGCATTTCCTGACTCTGCACGGGTCCGCGTTTAGCAGTCTTCCCTCGGTGCTTCTTACGATTTTTGTTTATTATCGAGGCGGGGTGTGTGCATGTTTATGTGGCAGTCATGAGGCCAACCTTAGAGTTGCTTATCTTCAGCGTGGGTTCAGGGATTGAACACGGTCATCAGGCTCGTTTGGCACTTCTACCTGCCAAGCCATCTCACCAGCTTGTGAGACTTTTTTGTGTCTGTCAGTCTTTCTAATCTGAAAATCCTTACTTCATTGCCCTTTGAGGACAATAAAATTGACTGTGGAGTCAGATGTGTTTGTTGGTGGCCCACATAATTTGGTTTCTCATCTGGTTCTGTCCTCTATTAGTCTTGTGACTATGAGCAAGTCAACCCACCTTTTCTGAGTCGGCTCAGGTCTAAAATGGAAGACAAAACTTAACAGGCTTGCCTTGTTCTAGGACCTGCTTACATCAGTTTTCATGAGACGTCAAAAGAGAATAAGAATTGAAAGTGGTAACTGTATTTTGCCCATCTTCTTGTCTTGCTTGTGGTTAAAAAGCTATTTTTGATCAATTCTGCATTTATCCCAGTGTGGTTGTAGCTTAAAACATTTTTTAAAAATTGTAATGTGTGTGTGCTCACCTGTTCATTCTCACGTGGACACCTTTGCCTGCTGAGTCATTCTGACCAGATCTTTTTGTTTTCTGATGCACCACAGGCCCTTTGGAATATCTAATTCAGAAAAGCCATGTATTTAGAAAACAGTGAGCCGATGGGAACGGTCATAATACTCAGTATAAAGTAGACTGCTAACAGTACAACGCACACGTGACTGGAGTCAGCTGGCTGAGTGCTGGAGATTCCTAGGAACCGTGTGTGGGATGGGAGGTTCAGATTAGACCGCAGTCTTCACATTTCAACACCTGTGGGAGGGAGGCTTAGCTGAGCCAGGTGGAGTAAGTAGTTCGTAGTTGGCTTGGGGCTGGGAATGGATGGACTAGCACAGATGTGTATGAGAAGAGGGTTGTGTGTGTGATAGATGACTGGGGAACAGAGCTGAGCAAATTAAAGGTTTCTTACCCGAAAACAGGCAGGTATGACAGAGCATTTGTAGAGCGCTTTAGGGCAGACTGTAGAATTTAGGGTTAGGAAAGATTTGGTTGGAGAATAAGCAGACTTGAAAAGTTTTGCTAACATTTTCGTTATATATAGACTAAATACTTTTATCTACAAACATGTTAAAACTGATTCGCACTTTCATGGTTCTTTAAATAAGTTGGACCTGTCTATATTAACACTCATGAAATGTTGTTTCATTGTGCTCTGGGCACTCCAAAGAACAGTGAGAGATGACTCTAGTCTTCAGTGACAGTATATTTGGGGAGAAGTCATGCACACCATGGAACTGGAAACTTAGGAATTCTAGAAAAAGTCTTTCCCATGCTATGTCAAAAAGGCTTAGTGCCTTTTCAACTCTACCAGTTTAGTTGCTATCTTAGTTAGGGTTTCTATTGCTGTGAAGACATCATGACCATAGCAACTATTATAAGGAAAACATTTAATAGGGTGGCTTGCTTAGTTTCAGAGGTTCAGTCCATTATCATCCTGACAGGGAACATGACTACATGCAGGCAAACATGGTGCTGGCTACATCTTGATCAGAAGGCAACTGGAACTGGTCTCTGACACTGGGCAGGAAACCTCAAAGCCCGCCCCCAAGTAACACTTCCTCTAACAAGGCTATACCTGTTTCAAACAAAGCCTAATAGTGCCTCCTCCTTATGAGCTCATGGAAGCCACTTACATGCAAACTATCATAGTGCCTAACTGGGTACCAACTATTTCACTTTTCTTTTCTCTGCTATATCTGCTAATTGTAGCCAGATATCTATTTGCAGTAAGCTCAGACCTTTTCAAGTATCTTACCTCCGAATTAAGATTAAAATTTAGGCAGGCTACCGGGTATGACTCAGTTCGAGTGCTTTTCTATCAGAAAGGGGGATGACCAAAATCTCAGGCCTTTATAGTTACAAAAAAAAAAAAAAGCCAAAAAGGAAAAAACAAAAAACAAAACAAAAAAAACCAAAAACAAAACCTGACTTTCCTCCACCCTTTTTTCTTCTACTCCCTCCATTCCTGTTTTCATAGTTCACATGGCAGAGGGTTAGGATCCTACTTACAGGACACACAACCCCTGGCCACCGTTGTTCATGTTCCAGAAATGAACTCCTATTATAAGATAGCTTGGAATTTCTCTAGAAATGAATGTAGGTTTTAAAAAAGTTATTCCTTAAATACCAGAATCTTTGAGGGAAGTACAGTTAAAATCTTTCAGTAGGACTGAGAAGAGAAATATGCACATTTTATTGGGGAAATACGGACGTAAGTGAGAAAAACTGTGAAGGAAGCCTTCTCGGGTCCTTGGTTTCCCTGTTTGGTCTCTCATAGGCCTTTTGCAATCCTTGGGCTTAGACCTGGTTTTAGAACTTTTCAAACGCACTTCCAGGGCTCTTACAAGCAGTAAGGCAGTGGGAAAGGGTTTGCGTCAACAGGTTTTGTACTCTCTACAAAGGGTCAGTTTATGAGAGTGATGTGCAGGCACGTGGATTGGTGTTTGCTGTTGTCTAACCCAAAACTATGAAGTGTAGTGTTATAACTGGCTGGTTAATCTGCTGGGAACATAAATACACAAAATTTATAAGATGGAAAAATCTTCCCTGTGTTCATTGTCTAGGGTCAGTCATTAATTGCGGTGGATTCTGAAAAATTTTTAATCTGATAATATTTACACTTTCTTTGACTTTAAGTCTAGATACACTCAAAATACTGAATGGAAACATTTTTTTTTGGCAGTGTATCCTGAGGGTACAGGCGGGTGTTTGAGGAATACATGCGGGTTATTAGCCAGCGGTACCCAGACATCCGCATCGAAGGAGAGAATTACCTCCCTCAACCAATTTATAGGTGAGTGAATTTCAGTGCTTGAGGACAGCCTTTCAGCTTACACAGTTTGTAAATGTCTCATTTGCCTCGCTGGGTCGGGAACTTCTTCATTCTCACAGTAATGAACAGAGAGCCCTGCTTTGTGAATAGCAATAGGCTGAGGGTGTTTTAAAGAGGGGTCTCCTCGTGCAGCTCATGTTGGGAAGTTAGTCTGAGATTGAGTCCAGGCTGCCACACCTTCTGAGTATGCCTTTTACCCCTGAACCACCTCAGGTACCCCAAATTTCCTAGAAAACCAATGATACTAAATTTAATGCAATTAATAACTTGGATTTTATATCCAGAAAATGCCTTCACATAAAGTGTGATTATTAAATTCCAGAAAAGATAAGAAATTGTAGTTTCTGATTAACTTTTTTCTTTTCTTTTGCTAGACATATAGCATCTTTCCTGTCAGTCTTCAAACTAGTATTAATAGGCTTAATAATTGTTGGCAAGGATCCTTTTGCTTTTCTCGGCATGCAAGCTCCTAGCATCTGGCAGTGGGGCCAAGAAAATAAGGTATGTGGCTTTGGTGACTGGACTTTTGGGTTGTGGTGACCGTGTGTGTCTGTGTGTGTGTGTGTGTGTTTAACTTACAAGAGAAAGAAACTGTGAAACCTCAGCGTCTGCCTGGAGGAGAGAAGGAAAAGCCATGGTGTTTAAGCTGCTGTGGCGTCAGAGCCAGGGTTGATGGGCAGCCTTATGGTACAGAGGGTCACTAGAGAAAGACCTAGGAAGCCCAGACACTGGGGAATTCCAGAGTGTTTAGGGAAGCATGCTTAGGATAGAGAAAGGAGAAGTTAGTCTTTCTCAATGTTGGGCTTTTTTTAGTTATTCAGCCAAGTGGGCAAGCTTATTGCTGCATGGCTGCACCCTGTGACCCTCTGCCAATTAGTCTTATTTTTAAATCTTTTTACTTAAAATCTTTTTTCCCCCTGAGTCACTCACCATTATTGGAAATGGATTTAGTTCTATTTCTCTCTTGAACGGGAGTGTTTTGGCTGCGTCCCTTATGAAGCGAAGTTCTCTGGGGAGTGCTCTGACTTTGCCCTTCTGGCCTCAGCACCCTTAGCAGACTCCTGTTCGCTGGTTCTCCAGAACAGGCATTTGTTACCATAAACATCCTTAGCTGTCTCTAGGAGAGCTACATCTCTGCCCCGTTGTTCACTAGACATGAGTTTGCAGTTCAGTCTCACGTGTTCTGTGCTGCGCTCACATGTGGATAGCACAGAGGTATAGTTGCCATTCTTAGTTGATCATGGAAAAGCCAAGAGATAAAGATACAGATTTTTGTGGCAACACTTTCTGTGTTCCCACAAAACCTGTCATACACCACCTGGCTCAAAGAGAATAGTCAGGCAAACTTTCTTTGCCTTATGGGCATTGACTTTCTGAAACAGTGTGTTATAAGTTTATGTCTTCACCATACCCAGCTCTCCGTCCAGTAATTTTACTAAATTAAAGCGCTTCTACTCTCTTTTTCAAAAGGGTGGATTTGCCTTTGAAGGGTGAATGCATGTACTTTTATGTGCTAAGGCAGTCTAAACCTACAGATGGTTTTAAAATGATTTTTTAGTTTAAGTAGGTTCTATCTACTATAAAGTTGCTGACAATTGCATCACTGTTCTCTTACAAAGTCAGACATAGTACATTTTTTTCTATGTGCTAGGGCACAGTCTAAACCTACAGATGATTTTAAGATTTTTTTAATTTAAGTCGTTTGTATGTAATATATGTAAAGTTGCTGGTGGTTGCATCACTATTCTCTTGTGAGACATTTTACATCTTAAAATCGGTAAAATGAGCCATTCTAAATTTGGTATTCTTTTTTATTTAACTTCAGTTATTGAGACGTTTTAGAAATTCTGTAAATAATAAGAATGGTGTCTGTATCTTCTTTAACATGTAAAGAGCTATGAGTTTTTCCTGGTATATAGATGATTTGTGAGATGACATTTTGTGTGGACACTTTTAAATTATATTAAAAGAAAGTGTTATCCAATTAAGGCTGAAACGTTCTATCAAATGAAGGTGTCTTATATTTTGTGCGGTTTGGCTTCTAGGTTTATGCATGTATGATGGTTTTCTTCTTGAGCAACATGATTGAGAACCAGTGTATGTCGACGGGTGCATTTGAGATTACGTTAAATGGTAGGTTCTGATTGGTGTGCATTTGTGATGAGCACGTGCTTAATAACAGGCTTTTAATGTTCATATAAGTGAGTTTATATGATAGAGACTGAAAATTCAGAAGCCTTTTTTTTTTTAATGAAAAGAATCTTAGTTGCTACCTGAGGTTCTAGATGATTTGACTCCATGTGTTTACTCTAGGCTTTAAAATAAAACGGGTGTAGTTCCTGAGTGCATCGTTTTAGGCCACTGTGGATCTGTTTTGAGTGCTTTACTTGGGAATCTTTAACATAACCTGCTTCAAAATAAGCTCTTAGCTACCTCCTCTGGATCCTATGTGCTGCTTCTAGTCTCCTCTGGGATTTTTTTCTTCATTTAATTGTCCCGTCATTTTTCCTGCTAATTTGCCTGGAATCCTAGGGTGGTCTTTCATTACTCCCTCCATCAGAACCTCTCAGTTCTGTTTCCCACATTGCTTACAGTCCACATGTGCTAATTCTCCCTGCTAGCACCCTACTCTGTCTGTTACATGACTCCCCTGTTGGTGAACATATCTTTAACGATGATTTTTTAGTTTTCTTGTTTTGTTTTTTAAGACACAAACTATGTAACAGTCCTGGCTGTCCTGAACTTGCTCTGCAGCCTAGGCTGGCCTCGAACTCAACAGAGAGTTGCCTGCCACAGTCTCTTGAGTGCTGGTTTAAAGGCATGCGCCACCACTGTCCAGCTTGGGTTCTTTTGTTTGCTGGGTTGTTTGCTTGCTTTTTTTTTCAGTGACTTTTTTCCTTGTGTCCCCTGAGTGTCTAAAACTCCTTAAGTTCTTTTTCAAGATAAATGCCAGTATATTCAGTGTGAGCAGAATTCCTATAAGGTCTAGATTAGGGGTCAGCCGACTATGGTCCTGTCTCATATCCTATTGCCTGTCTGATGTTTGAACACAGCTTGCCCAGTTTTAAAGTGTGTTCCCATTCCTGCCTCAAGTTGCTGTGTGAGTTGAATGACTGACAGATACTCTTCCCTAGTCAAAATGTTCAGCTCTGTTTTGCCGCAGTTGTTCCCCAATGTAAATTGCTCTGCCTCTTGGTTTCCCTTGCAGTACTTCCTTAGAACGGCTGCCTGTGCAGGATACTCTCCTCTTTAGCCTTCACACTGCTTCTTACCTCTGCAGTTTTCTACTGCCATGAGCCTTTACTCTAGCTTAGTGGCTTAGCATTACCTTTTTAGGCCTAGTTTACCTGCTGTGCTTCCCTGGCAGTCAGCAGGAAAGGCTGGTGACTGCGCTCCTCCTGGCACTGCAGTATCTGGTTTCAGTCTTCCAGCATGCGGATAATTCTGTGCTGACGTCTGTGTGCCCAGTGGTTCCTTTGCTGCTGAGAAAGCCCCCGAAAAGGAAGAAACATGTGCTTTTGTAGCCCGTAATTGTGAATGAAAGTCAATAAGTATTTGTGGGGTCGATGTCTATCGTGAGATTACATTAATGTTTCTTTGGGGTGGGGTGGGATGCTGGCTGTTTGTTTTGTAGATGTGCCGGTATGGTCTAAGCTGGAATCTGGTCATCTTCCATCCATGCAACAACTTGTCCAAATTCTTGACAATGAGATGAAACTCAACGTGCACATGGACTCAATACCACATCATCGATCATAGCCCTACCTATCAGCACTGAAAACTATTTTGTAAGTAGTTTAAAATACAGTAGCTATTTGTAGCTTTTTTTTAACTCTTACCACAAATGCTAGTAGATGCTACATATATTATCACTTCGGTTTCCCACCTAAGAGAAGCAGATGGATATCTTTCAGACTCTGAACTCCTTGTAGCCAGAATTGATGTGTTTTATTATAGTTTATAGATGCATAGCTTCTTACTTTCAAATAATTAGTTCCTAAACGCAGATTATTTTTTAACATGCTTAAGATAGAAAATTTTTGAGCAGATGTGTAAATGTGAAGAGCCTTGGTTAGCTCTTGCTTAGTAGTGTCATTTTCTGTCCTCTCTGTCAGCGGGTTAGCTTCCTAGGAGTTGGTATAACAGTGACTAAAATACAACGTTCTTCTTTTCTCTTTGTTTCAGACACTAAGGGATTTTGCAAGAGCAGCGTGACTGACATTATGAAGGCCTGTACTGAAGACAGCAAGCTGTTAGTGCAGACCAGATGTCTCTTGGCAGGCTCGTTGTACCTCTTGGAAAACCTCAGTGCAAGACAGTTTTTCCATTGCTGGCACATGCTGAATTGTGCACAGCCGTGGCGTGCAATGATGCTGTGTAGCTTTCCCAAGCCCACCGTTAACTGTTTGTTCTTCTTGACGTGGCATTACTACTTGCAACTCTTTTCTTAGTCATGTTTGAGAAAATACACAATTGAGTTACAACTTGAGTTTTTCTCAAGATGTGTGTTAAACTTGTGTTTTTATATGAATTTTCATTTTTTTATAGTTTAACGTCAGTTTTCTTGGAAACACCTGAAGTTCCCAACTAATTTATAAAAGTTTATCAGATAGCTCTAATTTGGTCATGCTTAATATATAGTTTTCAAAACACTGCAGATTGTGAGCAGTAAATTATACAGGATGATGGGAGGAAATCCAATATCTAGAGTGCTCTACCGTATGTGTGTGTACACCTGTGTGTGTTTGCGCACATGTGTGCTCTTGTGCTTGTGTGTGGGCTGTGGTCTGTGTGTATGAGTGAATTATTATTAGGAACAACAAAACCAACTGCTTTTAAAATCCCATTGTGTAGTTCAGATGTCTTGCCTTGACCAATCTAATGAACTGATTAATGGGCCTTTATACTAAATTAAACAGATGTAAGTTAAACAAAAGTTTGTTGCTTAGTATACCTGTTAGCATTATTTTTAATACCGTCTGCCTAATGTTTTGTTTTGGCTTACAGATATTCTCATAAAGGACATACTTTAGATTCACACACAAGTAATGAGCTAATTTACTGTTTTTAGAACAGTTGAAACTCACCTCACTAAAGAAAAATTCAGTGAAACCTCTTTACAAAGTATGTATTATGTAAACAGATCATTTGTCTTGTAATTGAATCACCTTAACATCATATATCAGAATTTTATTGTATTTGAAAGACAAAATTAAAAATATTTTTAATGTTTTCATATTGTTCCAGAGTTTTAAAAGAAACTTACGGTTGATAATAAGAATGATTTAGCAGAAATAGAAACTGAATAGCAGTTACATTGCGGCCATAGTAACAGACAGGGATGAAGTGGAAGAGCCTGGATTTGTGAGTGGAGGTTAAAGAGCTTAATTTAGGGGAGGTGTTGGTCCACCTGACTCTTGACTACTGGACAAACCTTGAGTGCATTCAGGCAATGCCTCAGTGTGGAATCTACTGTGATCTTCAGCTAACAGGCAGATAGTCTAGTGATGAACTGAAGAAAACTGATGCAATGTTACCCTTGACTAGGATTGCAGCACTGCTAGCCCAGGTTCCTCTGGTGATAAACGTTGTCATTTAAACTCAAGTTCCTTAGAGGCTATTATTTATGTGTAAATATATATATTTTTACTAGGTCTTAACCTTGTTAATATGATTGCCTATCACTCCAGACTGCACATCTTGTAAAGTTTAGCATCAGAGGGGCCTTTCTTCAAGTAATGGACATTCCATTTATGACACAGTTAGCTTTATGGCACATAGACATTCAGAATTTGGGCCATGGGTATTCACGTGTACTTGAGAGGCCAAACTATGAAGAACCTAAGGTCAGATCCAACTTTCTCCATGTTTGCCTTAGATCGAATTTGTCTCCTAGTTAATGGCTTTAACTGTGTTGGACATCTAGTAAAATTGAGCTGTTTTATCCATACTCATCTGTTTTATTTTATGCTTAAATCCAGAATTTAGTAGTCTACTAAACAAATAAATGAGATGCATGAATATAAAGATTATAAGGAAAAGGAGAAAGTAAACTATTTATAACGTTATTATATTACTAACAATTCAAAATGTATTAGTTGCTTATAAATTGGTGCAGCCGTGTAATTACAGAATTGTCTGTGCTCTAGAGCCAGAAGACTGTGGTCTTGGCACCAGGCTGGCGGATTTCACTGGAGTTTTCAACACACTCGCCATTGTGAATGGTTTTAAAAAGCTGGTGAAACCTGGTTTTAAACTTGACCCTCGGTGTGTAAGATGTACAGGAGCACACGCCTTCTGAGCGTGAGTGGCATTGGTGATGGCATTAGTGACAGTTGCTCAGCCTGAGCAGCTGTGAAAGTGGTGGGATCCAGTGATGTCCAGTCTTACTTTAAAGGTTTATTAGTTTGGGATTTTGATTGACTGGCATATTCTATCATTGTCATAACTTAAAATAATTCAGTTAAAGTTTTTTTAAACATGATTTGATATCCTAGGGCTTTTCTTTTTTTAAAAAAAAATGAGAAGCAGGTAAAGAATTGTAAAGATTTGGAACTTCTTTGTGGCATTGTGAAAATAAATAAGCCAGTGTGAAAGGAACCCTGCTTTGTGTGATTAATTTTGCACCAACATATTTTACATAGTAAAGGTATTTAGGGAATTATGCATTGTAAAAGTTGTCATAATGTTTATTTCTTTTCTTTTTTATTATTTTATTTTATTACTTTAAAAAAATATTAATCCAAATTCCCACTCCCCTCTTCCCACTCCCACCACACACCCTCCCACCCCCACTTCCTTCCAGTCCTAAGAAAGGGCAAGGCACCCTGCCCTGCTGAGAGTCCAAGGCCCTCCCTACTACATCTAGGTTGAGCAAGGTATACATCCAAAGAGAATAGGATCCCAAAAAGCCAGTACATGCAGTAGGAACAAACCCCAGTGCCACTGTCAATGGTCTCTCAGTCTGCCCCAACTGTCAATCACATTCAGAGGGACTAGTTTGATCCCATGCTCATTCACTCCCAGTCAAGTTGGAGTTGGTGAGCTCCCATTAGCTCAGGAAACTGTCTCAGTGACTGAACCCCTCATGGTCTTGACCTCCTTGCTCATACTCTCACTCCTTCCATTCTTTAGCTGGATCTTGGGAACTCAATCCAATGCTCCGATGTGGGTCTCTGCCTCTGTTTCCATCTGTTGTTAGATGAAGGTCCTATTGTGATATTTAAGATAATCATCAGTCTGACTACAGGGCAAGGCCAATTCAGGCCCCCTCTCCTCTATTGCTTAGGGTCTTAGCTGGGGTCATCCTTGTGGATTCCTGGGAATTTTCCCAGAACCAGGCTTCTTGCTAACCCCATAATGGCTCCCTCAGTCAATGTATCTCTTTCCTTGCTCTCATATCTGTCCTTCCTCCATCTCGACTATCCCATTCCCTCAAGTTCTCCTCAACCCTTCCTTCTCCCCTTCTTTCTACTCCCCACCCTCATGCTCCCAAATTTTGTCAGGCGATCTTGTCTGTTTCCAGTTTCCAGGTACATCTATGTATGTTTTTCTTTGGGTTCACCTTGTTGCTTAGCTTCTCTGGGATCATGAATTATAGGCTCAATGTCAGTTGTTTATGGCTAATATCCACTTATGAGTGAGTACATACCATATTTATTTTTTGGGTCTGGGTTACCTCACTTAGGATAGTGTTTCCATCCATTTGCATGCAAAATTTAAGATGTCATTTTTTTTTTAACCGCTGAGTAGTACTCTAATGTGTATATGTGCCACACTTCCCTTATCCATTCTTCAGTTGAGGGGCATCTAGGTTGTTTCCAGGTTATTACAAATAATGCTGCTATGAACATAGTTGAACAAATGATTTTGTAGTATGATTGAGCATCTTTTAGTTATATTTTCAAGAGTGGTATTGCTGGATCCTGAGGTAGGTTGATTCTCAATTTTCTGAGGAACCACCACACTGATTCCCAAAGTGATTGCACAAGTTTGCATTCCCACCAGCAAGGGATGAGTGCTCCCCTTACTCCACATCCTCTCCAGCATAAGCTATCATTAGTGTTTTTGATCTTGGCCATTCTGACAGGTGTGAGTGGTATCTCATAGTTGTTCTGATTTGCATTTCCCTGATAGCAAAGGAAGATGAACATGTCCTTAAGTATCTTTTGGTCAATTGAAATTCTTCTGTTGAATTCTCTGTTTGTTTAGTTCAGTACACCATTTTTTAATTGGGTTATTTAGAATTTTAATGTCTAATTTCTTGAGTTCTTTATATATTTTGGAGATCAGTATGTTGTCTGATGTGGGGTTGGTGAAGATCTTTTCCCATTCAGTAGGCTGCCTTTTTGTCTTATTGACCGTGTCCTTGGCTTTATAGAAGCTTTTCAGTTTCAGGAGGTCCCATTTATTTATTGTCGCTCTTATTGTCTGTGGTACTGAGGTTAGATGTAGGAAGTGGTCTCCTGTGCCCATGCATTGAAGGCTACTTCCCACTTTATAAAGTCAGTGTGGTCAGATTTATATTGAGGTCTTTAATTCATTTGGACTTGAATTTTGTGCATGGCGATAGATATGGATCTATTTTCATTCTTCTACAGGTTGACATCCAGTTATGACAGCACCATTTGTTGAAGATTCTTTCATTTTTCCATTGTATAATTTTAGCTTCTTTATCAAAAATCAGGTGTTATAAGGTATCTGGAAGAGGCCAGAGCAGAAAGAGAAAGAAGCAGACTGCATGTAACCAGGGATATCTGCCAGAGGGAGACTAGCAGGGTGCAGAGAATAGAGAAAACAGTGAAAGAAGCGGAACAGAGAGAGCACGGAGCCTGGGGAGAAGAGCAGGTTCGGAGTCTGAGTAGCTGGGAGGGGAGCCCTGTATCTGAGAGTTTAGGGTTGGGAAGGAGGTGGGAAGGGCTGGCTTGCTGGGGTGGACTTTGAAATGTGTCACAGATATCGCGGTACCGAGGAATTGCGGGGGTGGAGGGGTGGGACAAAGGTAAAGGAGATGGCTGCGTTTGGTAGAGGGGAGCTGGCCTCACAAGTTCCTGAGGAAGGCTGGCTTTTATCCAACCGCCAGAAAGCCTCCTGTAGTCAGGTGAGCTGAATTCTGGATTGCCTTTTGGGGAATTGGAGTGTCCTTCGGACCTAATCAAGAGGAAATGGTCACTAGGCACAATTTAACTGGTTTGAATTGCTAGGTTTTCTCAGAAAAGTAGGCCTACATTACAGCAGTGATGTACTGATCTTGATTTTCATATTTAAAAAAAACTCTTTAAATTCTTACAGTTCCGACTGCAGAAAAATACACGTGTTTCCTTTTATTTGAATAATTAGCCACGTGATAACTCCGGATTGCTAGAGGACCCTAATCTGAACTGGTTTCTGCCTGTCAGAGAAAAGGATTCATGTTTCATGTGACTAGAAAGTCTTCCGGAGCTGGCCTCTGGGACTGTGCTGACTCGGACCTCTCCCCAACCCCACCTGGGCCTGCAGAGTAGATGAGGAGCACATAGCCATGCTCCCTCTGTGTGCTCCCTCTGTGTTTCCTATCTTTGTTATTGTGTGTTGCGGGGGGGGGGGGGGGGGGGGGGGGCGTTGAATTGTTTTTTGTTTTTTTTTTTTTGATGTTGGGGATTGAACCTAGGTTTGGGTGTGCCAAGCACATACCCACCACCCAACTATACCCCGTACCCTACATTCATTTCCTGTTTATTTCTTACTGGATGTTTACTCCTAATTTTCTCGTCCTTAACCCATGGCAGACCTCGAGCTCAGAGATTTATCTTTGCCTTCCAAGTGCCGGGATTAAAGACGCATGCCACCATGCGTAGCCTGGCCTCATTTCTGCCTCCGCCTCCGCCTAGCCACATCCCTAGATGAGCCACTCAAATCAAATGCCAGTTGTCACTCTACCCAGCCGAGTGGTTGTCTAGCATTGATGGAGTCAGCATATGATTGCTTGCTTGGGAGAGGATTGGAGCCTCCTGGGCAGGTTGCTGCCGATGCTCCCCAGGGCCACCTGCTGGACCATGCTCTGTGTCCTAGCAACTCCTATTAAGAGAATGAAAAACAGTTGCAGGTTCTTTGCTTCTCGTTCTTGAGTTGCTAAGAGCAAGTCTGCAGGAAACTCTGCTCGTTGTACCTTCCTCTCCGTGCCTAGAGAGTATTAGAAGGTGCTGCTGGGTTGTCTTTCAGTGGCCCATAAAACCTAGTGGTGGGAGATTGTTTTAAAGATAATAAATGAGGCTGGGAGATAAGTGACTCATTTAACCGCTGCTGCAGGAGACTAAAGTTCACTTCCTGGCACCAACGCGGTGGCTCACCACCATCTATAACTCCAGTCCCAGGCATCCCAGGCAGAGACACCATAAACTCAATGTGGTACACTGCCATGCATGCTGGCAAAACATAGGCATGCAATGAAAATCGTAAATTATGAGCATGCGTATGTAAATAATATTATGTAACCCCAGCCTTCAGATTTAATGATAACACTGACTCCTCCATGACCCCAGCCCCAACACTAAACGTTTTCTGATACTTAACATTAACCCTCCCCCTCCCCCACGCTTAGCCCTAGCTCTAACCTTAACTCTGTCCCATATCTATCTAACCCTAGTCCTGACCCTGAATGGAGTTCTAGATCGAGCAACCTTTGGCCTACTCCTAACCCTAACTCTAGTCCTAACCTAGCCTGTAACCCTGAGTATAGCAGCAAGCCGTTCTAACCCCAGCACTAGTGTCTTCAAGCTCCGTCTTAGCACCTCCTATACTTTCCTCGGTGAAATTTCAGTACTGTTCCCTCTTCCGTTCTCCGGACTCACAGGCCCTAGCACCAGTACCTAACATTTTGCTTTGAATTAGTCAAAACTTGCCTTTTAACAAAATTTGTCCTTATTGTGTGTATCTGTATACCCGTGTGTGTGTGTGTGTGTGTGTGTACATGCACATGCAGAGATCAGAACAGTGTGCAGGAGTCCTTTGTTTCCACTTTGTGGGTACTGGGGATCGAACTCTGGTCATCAGACTTGGAAGCAGATGCCTCATCAGCTGAAGCATCTTGCAGGCTGTGTCATGTTTTAATCAGGTATATGCCACAAATAATGCTAACTCAAAATAGTTATTTTCTTTTTCTATACCTAGGATCTTAAGGTCACAGGAAGCGAAGTAGTGGATTTTCAGGCATAAAACATCACAGTCCAGTAAACTTGGAGGAAGAAAGAAAAAAGCATATGGTCGAAAAGAAAAGAAAAAAGAAACATCGCAATATTTTCAATTTAAAGCAGAGTTGAGCCTGGAAAGATGGCTCAGTGATAAAAAGGTTTGGTGACCTGAGTTCCAATCCCTGGAGCTCACCTAAAAGTAACAGGCTGCACAGTATTGTCTCTGACCTCCACAGGCGTGCTATGACACTGGCACCACAGCCATGCACACGCATGTACATGCACGCACACATACATCATGCACACACAATACTAAAGTTTATATCTATTTTAAGTGGGCAATGGAGAATACATTATATGTATTCTCTAATGGATTCACTTTAAAAGGCAATGCTTTGTTTTAAAATCTGGATTTGCAGTACATTAGAACTT